TATCTGAACCAAAAGTGTGTGTGTGGCTTTAAAACTATTTGCTTCCGCTATTTCAGTTTGAACTTGGGTTGTAATAACTTTATGTTCTAAACTCTGATGTATCCACTGTCATTGCGAACTTTATGTAACATGTGACGGTGACTGCTAAACTTGTATGATCTTGGTTTGTATGTCGATTGGTTTGAAATCCTTCGTGGTTTCACGGACTACCGGGTTATACGACTTAAGTTTGCTAAATTATCTGCTTCGGCGAAAGATTTTCTTACTTAATCTCGTATAATTGGTCGGTTCTATTACAACTGCCATCATTTGTCGTGTCGTGCCCAACTACGAATCATATTTTCACAGGCAATGACTATAAAGTGACCCTGTGAGAAGGGAAAAATCATAGAAATTCAATAGATAAATTAATATGGGTAAAGCATCTACATCTCATACAACTATAAGGCTGTGAAAAATGAAGTACCTCTACTCCAAAAGGCTTGATTTGTCCCAAAACTTCAGCTGCACCGAATACAGCTGCAAAGCCTCCCATGTCAAATTTCATCAGCTTGATGATGTAGCCTGGCCTGGTCTGTTGTAGACACCACTGGAGTCATAGGCAAATCAAGCATAAGAAAAATAACAAACTATTCCACCTTCATGCCTACTTCTAGTTTTTCATAAAGCCACTAAATATGTTGCAAGTACTACAAAGTACAAACCTTTCAAAAGTTAAACCCTTCCCAACAATAGCTAGCTTTCTCTTGATGTTCCCATCAGTGGGTTTGTAACACAATAGCAACTCCCAAGTAGGAACACATCTTCAACTCTTTTCATTTCTCTACATCTAGTATTGTGGCAGTGAACACATCACCATAAGTAGAAGCGATCTTTGACGCCTCCTCCGCAAGCACAGCTGAAAGGACAAAGAATGACTGCAATAAGTATACTGACAGTAAATCTATGAAGAACAATCAAAGTTTGATGTAAGATCTTCTGACAAGGGGTAAGGACATTTGCAGGAGAGTTCACAAACTCTCTTCCGAATATCACACCTAACGAAAGATCATTAGCATACTTGTTTCTGATCCACCTCGGCACCATAACCCAGTCCAATAATATCAACCTATTTCAGGTGCACTTTTTTTTATCCAGATTTGTATCTACTGTCCTCATACAACCCCAGCACAGTTCCTGTGATTCAGACTGGCAGAAAATTCAGGCTCAATCCACTGCACTCCATAACCATCAAAACAGGAAAGAAAATGAGGCCTGCAGGAGAATCAACTTACAAAAATAAATCAACAAAAATTAGCAATACAAAAAGCAGAAGTAATCTGAATGGTTACTATTTCTCGACAACAGGGTATGTTGCTTGCAAAGAATTTTTTGTTTGTTATTAGCATGTATGGCCATGAAAGGCATTATCCGTTTATCTGTGCATCGTCTAGTTAACATGAACACATAAATGAAAATCCTACCGGGTTTAAATTTTGCAACGCCACTACCAAGCTAACACAATAGTATTACTATACTACTATCGAACAAAGGACCATATTTGCATCGTGAACCCAATAGATTCTTTTCATGTCACCATTGATTCATCATTTGTGGCAACTCACAAACAAAGTATCAAGAGATTTACCGGTTTCAAAAAACAGCAAACATTTATGCTCCTTAGATCCCCCATCTACACCTAACGTAACCTTCCAAGAAAGAAATGAAAAAAAATCTATCCTGGAGAATCCAAACTATCGAACCACCGTGACCTCAAACATAAAAGGAAAACCAAAAGGAATTAGCACAAATAAGAACTCACAGCTGCTTCTCCTCGGCGACGATGAAGTCAGCGAAGGACCCGACGTCGGCAAAGGAGCAGACGCGGTCGCCGGGCCGGAGCCCACGCACGACGGGCCCGACTACGTCGGCCATGCCACGCCAGAGTAGTCGGATCCAGGCACGAACGACAGCGGGGGGCCGCTACTGGTACTTGCCTACATCTAGAGCCGACAGCCGTCAGCGATGAGATCTCCGGCACCGGGTGGTCCCAGACCACGGTGAACGGGGAGGCTTGAGCCGAATAGTGCGGCCGGGGCGGCCCGCGCTGCCCAGGAAGCCGCACGCGGAGGCGGCAGGCGCGCGCGCAGGTGGCGGCGAGTGCGGCCCTGGCGAGGGCGTCGCCGCGCAGCATGGGGCGGGTCGGCGAGCGCGGCTCCGCGCGGCATGGGTCGGGGGTGCGAGCACGACTGGCGAGGTTCGCCGCGCGGCCTGGACATGGGCGGCGAGCGGCACCGGCGGGAACCCTAGCCGCGGATCGGAAGTGACTGGGAGGTGAGGTGAGAGGAGGATGATGTTTCATTTTTTTTGAGAAAAAAGAAAAGGACAAGCCACGAATCGACCGGCTTATTAGCTAGAATCTACAGCAATAAATCAGCCAAGGCCGGCTTATCAGCCGGCTTTAATACCAGCCGAACAGGGCCCGAACCCTGGTCGATGGGCAGGGCCGTGGCTGCGTGGGGCACGTTTGAAGCCTCGCGTGATGAGGGTGCGTTTGAAGCCTGCCATCAAACTTCCAACATCGGCCGTTGGACTGGGTTTGAGTGTTTTCTTAGCTTTGATTTTAATGTAGACAATTTGCTATGTGTATTTTTCTAGGTACATAATGATCGAAGGCTCTTAACGGATGATATTTTCCTGAAGAGACCTAGTATAATCTTGATTGGTCCATCATTATAGTAGAAATTAACCGAATAACTGGAGAAAACGAAGAGTTATGGCCCATAGACACGTTACAGGCCTTGTAAGCGTAAGTATATATCTAGAGACTAGTCAATACTCACCCAAACACTAGAGCCTTAGCCTCCACCTTTCACGTAGGCCAATGACGACATATTTCATCCTCATCCACACCAGCAAGAACAACCTAAAACACGGGAAGTGATGCTCAAACTTTGTTTAGAATCTATCTATTTTTTTTAGTTTTGCCTCAAAATATTCGGTTAGAACTGAAACCAAATTGAAATAATGGAAACCAAAATGCACGGTTTCTATAATTTCTCAGAGATTTTTTTGTTTTCCCATTATTTTCGGTAGTGCTTCCATAATTGCTCTAGACTCAGGAGCAACACAGCAACTTAACTTCCTTTGGGGTTCTCTTGTTTGTATTGTTTCAAACTTCAAAATATTTGTGAACAAGGGGAAATCATTACCTTTGTGGGTGAACTTAGAATGTTATAGGGCAGCACTAGCGCTCGGACGCCCGCGGCTGCTCCGCCCGTCTGTTTGGATTCACGTGTCGCCCGTGCCAGCTCCATTTCCCGTGTTCTTCCACACCGGCGCTGCGCCCCGTCTCTCTAGGTCGCCTGGAAGACTCACCCTCGCCTCTTCCACAACAGCACCGCGTGGCGTGTGCCTCCTCCCCACACCGCCGGCGGTGGCCTATGCCTCTTCCACACATCGGTGGCCGCGGCTTGGCCCTACTCACCCTCATGGACACCAACGTCGACGGTCTGCACTTGCAACATAAAACACTCGAATGCAACATACATTTAAAATAGATGAAACATTTAGGACATACGCTTGCAACAAGTGTGTGAAACATATGTAACATCTAGATAAAATACTTGCAACATGAAAAACGCTTACTGCAACATAAGACTAAAACAACTGAAACATATTGTTGCAACATATGTGTGAAAACATGTGCAACATCCAGATAAAAAACGATTGCAACATACGTCTGGAATCAGAACATTTCGAACAAACGCTTGCAACATACTTCTGAAACACTTGCAACATATGCAACATCCTCGATCTACTTTTGCAACATCCATAAGAAACAACTGCAACATACCTTTGAAACGACTGAAACACCTTAAATATATATTGCAACATAGGAGAGGGGAAGCATGGGCCGATCGATTCCAGTTGTCGGGGTTAGAGCCAGCGGCGCACGAGCACCACCAGTACCCTCCGCGCTCGTGGGTGCCCTTGGCTCAGCCGAGGAAGACCTGAGGCGCCACGGCACATGCGCCCCAGCGGCCATGGCGAGGGTCAGCGGCGTGCGCGATGGCGATGGGAGACGGACGGACGGCGAGGGAGCGAACGACACAGGTGTCTCGGACACGCGCATGGCACGGCCGGTGATGAGCGTGGGGCGGTGGGGCATGACGCGGCAGCCGATGAGCGCAGGGTGAGGGAAGGGGCGCGAACAACGAGCGGCCACGCTGCTTCGGGGCCGGACGAATAAGCACGAAGGAGTGGGGGGTGTAGAGCGGGCAGATAAGCATGAGGGAGTGGGAGATTTTATTTTTTATTTAGGGCCCGCTTCTGGGGAGCCTCGTCCAGACGGGAGTAAGGGACGCCGGGACGGACGCCCGAGTTGGATCATCGTTGAATGTGATATTGCGATGTGCCGTTGTATGCATGTATTCCTACTTTAACATTGTAATATTCAGCTGATGTCTCAACTTAGGGTACAGTCGTAGATACTACACAGCTCCCACTATTCCGGATGGACCTCCTGGACCCGGCTTCCTCCAGTGCTAATGTCCGTGGGCGCTCGTGGTTTATTCCATCTTATACATATTAGCCCTATGCAGATTCAAGATCTTGAGACAATTTTGTCTATAATCATCCTGTTGTCACATAACCGTGTTGCGTGTGCATGGTGGCGCCGGAATAAGAATAACCGAACAATAATCGATTGCGCGATTGAGGCCTAAGACAACAGAGCTTGCCACTGCCAGGGCCCAGCCTCAACCCTGTATGTTCAGCCGCCTCGTTCCCGCCAAAGACTAAGTGTCGTGCCCCACTGCCCCCGCGTCAGTATGCCGGCCTGTGTGTTGTATAAGGAAGAAATCGGGCAGCTACTCTTCCTCGTTTCAGTGGCCAGGAGACTTACAAGAGTGTGGGTGTGGCTTTCTGGCTTGGTGCATACAGTACTACATACTACATAGTCACATAGAGCGAGCGAGCGGCAGACAGGGAGACCATCGATCCGGCCGGTCAACGACGACATGGAGGCGGCCGGGGACAGCGCTGGTGCCCGTGGAGGCCTCCTCTGCGTGACGGGCGGCAGCGGCTTCATCGGCTCCTGGCTGGTGCGCCTGCTCCTCGACCGCGGCTACACCGTCCACGCCACCGTCAAGAACCTCCGTGCGTAGCAGAGCAATATAGCATCATCATGCATGCTCTCCCGTCTTTTCTCTCTATGTTAGATCATCGAATTCATTTGCACGCGCACACGAGACATGATAAAAACGAAACGCGATTTGCATGCATGTTCTGTTTGCTCGTTCTCGCAGAGGACGAGGGCGAGACGAAGCACCTGCAGGCCCTGGACGGCGCGGACACGCGGCTCCGGCTGTTCCAGATGGACCTCCTCGACCCTTCCTCCTCCATGCGGCCGGCGATCGAGGGCGCGCGCGGCGTCTTTCACCTGGCGTCCCCTCTGACGCTGCACACACAGGATCCGGAGGCAATTCTTCCTGCAGAATCATTCCGCTCTGTCGCATACAGCCATAAACGACGCCTATTTCATCGCGACGACTGACGATTACGTACTGCTCGCAGAAGGAGCTGCTGGAGCCTGCGCTGAAGGGCACGCTCAGCGTCCTTCGTGCCGCCAAGGACTGCAGCGTCCACCGTGCTGTTCTCATGTCGTCAAAGTCAGCCATGCTGCCGAATCCTGCCTGGCCTGCAGACAAGGTGATGGTAGAGGATGACTGCTGGGCCGACCTTGAGCTCCTCAGGGAACGTCAGGTACAGGCGTACAGCACAAATGTACACTGTTGCTAGATGGTAGATGTAGATTTTCTTGCATGTTAATGTTAGCAGTAAAAATAACAGCACCAAATTAGAACGTGTTTATGCATCGTCATGCTTATCAGGTCAGAATCGCACAAAACAATGGTAGATTTATTCAAGCTGCTGGCTACTTTCACTCTATCGTATATAGACAGCATGTGTTTACGACTTGCTGATTCATTCATTTTGAGGAGCAGCTTTGGTACCACGTCTCTAAAAGGGTACCCTCTCTAAAACGTTGGCAGAGAAGGCTGCGTGGGAATTCGCCGAGAAGGAGGGTCTACAGCTGGTCGTGCTAAATCCAGGGACGACTCTGGGCCCATTTTTTACACCATCAGTCAATACAAGTCTGAACATTCTGCTGCAGCTCCTGAGAGGTTAGTCATTGTAATTTACAACATCACATCGGAATCGCAAATATGCAATGAAAGCATGGCGCAAGTCGTTCCTGAAGGCTGCAAATTAACCAGGCCAGGAGCTCGAGTTGGACGCTGTCTACACAGGGTGGGTCGACGTCAGAGATGTGGCGCAATCTGCGATTGTGCTGTATGAGAACCCATCTGCAAAGGGACGGCACCTGTGCCTGGCGTCCATGGAACGCTTGGTTGACTTCGCCGATAAAATTGCTGATATGTACCCTGAATTCCCAGTTCACAGGTGACACATTTCTGACAACATGCATCGAGCTTGCATTGTATGCTGCAGGGCTGTGTTCGTTTTGGTAATAACCTTTCTATTTTCACATCAGGATCAAGGCGGACAAACAAGGCTGGTTGATGAGAGATAAGGAGCCCTCCAAGAAGTTGATCGATTTGGGCGTTCGTTTCGTTCCGTTCGACGTGACCATCAGGGAGACCGTCGATTGCTTCAGAAGCGAAGGGCTCATCTAGCCCTGTGAATTCGTCCAGCTTTCTAGAGAACTGCTACAATAATAGTTAGCTCAACCAAAATAAACTGCCAGAATCTAAAGACAAGAAAGCGTGTGGCCAGGCTGCCCACACGGCGCGCCACGTCGCCGGCCGTTCGATCGGCCCAGATCGGGCGAGGCGCGGTCATTTTATAAAAAAACCCTTATGTTTTTGGGAAATCAACCCGCGCTCCAGAGGCCCTCTCAGAATATTTTGCAAATAACACCTCAGATAATTTTCAAATCAACCCGCAGTCCAGAACGGATGAGCTCCGGCTTTTTTTGTAAAAAAACCCTTCCTTTTATCAAAAATCAACCCGCACTCCAGAGACACTCTCAGCAATTTTTTCGAAAACCTCCTCAGATTTTTCTCAAATCGAAATACAGGCCCCCCTTAATTATATCTTTCTTTTTCCAAAAAATACGTGTGGCCAGTGGCCCGCGCGCATGGGCGCGCCCGAAGAACTAGTGTATTAAAAGGCACCACCGACTCCGTGGAGTTTTGGCCTTTCGGGTGCATGGCTCCACTGGGGTTTAAATATTGATGTACGTGGGTTTAATGGCTGTATGCATCATCAACCGGTTCAGAGGCCATAAGTTATGCTTTTTATCAGCTCCCTTTTCCAAACTCTATGTTGTTCTAGTTTTATCTTAAGTTAAACTTCTCTAATTTTAACCAAGATAATAAAAAATGCACAAACTTCTATAATAACCTTAAAAGCTAAATTAATAGATACACCATAAAATCCATCTATCCCAAAATAAGTCTTCATCTCGCATTTCGAGGAGTCAACGAATCTCACATTTCAGTTTAGAAAATAGTATCAACATTTGTACCTCTAGATAGATTTATTATGAAAATGTATGACGTGGTTAATTAAATAATACTTATTTGGTATCACAAATATTAGTAATTTTTTGTACATATTTGGTAAAAGTTGATATTGTTTGACTCCTCGAAATTGGAGATGGACACTTATTTTGGGACTGAGAGAGTGTTTGATATTGTAAATATTAATATATTTTCTATAAGCTTGATCAAAATTAAATAAATTTGTCTTAGCATAAAGCTAAAACAACTTACTAATGGAGTAAAAGGGAGAAGTCTATTTTTGACCATCCAACTATGTTGTCTGAATTTGTTTTTGTTCATACAACTCTAAAACCAAAAAACTTTAACCATTGGGCAAATTTAACCATTAGTTGTTTTCAAAGGTGATTTGTATTCTGAAAAATAATTAAAACTAGTTTTTTATTTCAAATTAATAATCAATTCATTTTAAATGAAAAATAAAATCAATACCAATTTCTAAGTAGTTAGAAAATGTATGCCCTAGTACAAATCATTGTTACACTAAAGTTATGTACCCCATATATATTTTTCATTGCCTCTTTTTTGCATATAGTTCTATAGTAGGGCTGAAAAAAGAAAGAAGAATAAACCAAAATATTAAAAAAAACATCCAGCAGAAAAGCTATAAAAATGAACTGGATAAAAAGGGAACAAAAGCATTCTCAGGGGAGTAAAGAAAAGTGTGATGTGCAGATCTCAGATCTCCCTAGATCAGGCTCCATGCCTTTGTCATTCTTCTTTCTCATTTTATATCTTCCTGAAAGAGCAGAGAATAGTAAAATACCTTAATCATCCAAACCTTAATCTTCAGATACTCCATTATTCATCAGTCCTGATGTAATCATGTAAGTTTCAGTGACAAGCTATCAGTTCCTCTAGAGAAGCCGGTGTTGGAACTTGGAAGGGCACGGCCTCTTCTGAAGAAAAATGTACAGTTGTACACCAGCGGTGGGAAAGAATCAGAGACCTGGGCCACTTGATTCGAAGCAAGCAACAGTCCTCAAAAGAACTTGTGTCCCGCGCAACCTGGGAAAAGGGATACACACATATCACCGAACAAAATCTGCCTTGTCCAGTAGATCAAGCGCATCGGCATCTCCTCCAACCTCCTCCTGCTCCCTCCTTAATTTTCCCTCCAAAGGAAAAGCATCTCTCGCGCATAGGCCATCATCATCATAGCCTTCGACTAAACTAAACCAAAAGCCAGTGAGCGCCTTTTCTTCCGTTGCTCCATCCATCGCCATGGCTTCCCAACCGCAACCGCCTCTTCGTCATCGTCTTCCCCTCGTCCCGCTCCTCGTTCTGCTCTGCCTATCCCCGGCATGCGCCGCCGGGAGAGTCCCGGTTTCGGTCTACTACGAAACGCTGTGCCCGTTCTGCTCCGCGTTTGTCGTGAACGACCTCTCCAGGATCTTCCGCACCGGGATCTCCTCCATTGCTGACCTGCGGCTCGTCCCTTTCGGCAATGGGCGTGTCTCCGCCGACGGAACCATCACTTGCCAGGTCAGTGACTGACATCGTATCATCCTCTTTGTTTCTTGAACTCGGTATGTGCGTTTCTCAAGAAGTTCAACTGAACTTTTAAGAGAATTGGGTTACTCTACCACATTTGGTTCTTCTGATTTTAGACTGCAGCGGTACTATCATTCAGTCTGTTCATTGCTAAATGCAGTGGGGAGTACGAAGTGCTATGTGCGAATATGGTTTCAAATTCTGTATTGAATGTATCTGTTCACAGATTAGTACAGCAAGTACTGCACTACTAAACTTTGATGAACAGGCTTCAGTTTGCTCACTCCACTAGTCAATTGCTTTGTTTTGCAGCATGGAGAGGACGAGTGCCAACTCAACGCTATAGAAGCTTGTGTGATCAGACTATGGCCTGATGCGGTAATGCCTGTGTTATGAATACGCCATCTTATGTTGAAAAAAAAAGCGAGGTCAAAATGGTTCTGAAATATATTCGATACAGCATCTGTTAATGTTTTTTTTAAACGAATCAGAAGAGTTGTCGATTATATTAAAAAGCAGATGAAGCCTAGATTAAACAAAAATAAACACACACCACTCCAGTAGGTTGGATTGGGACATCGAACCACGCTGAAAATCTGTTAACGTTTTAGTATCCACGGACCCTTACCACATTATAAATTTGTGATAGTTCAATATTCTATAGTTTATCTTTCAGATTTTAATGATTCGGTTAGGTGAGGCACTGAATTTTGCAGACATATAGATCTGCCAATTCCCCAGAAAATGAACTTAAAATAACGCACTAACTGTTCTGATACATATATTTATCTTGACACAGGAGCAGCATTTCCCTTTCATTCAATGCGTTGAGCATTTAGCACTGACTCGGAAATGGGACGCCTGGCAGTCTTGCTTTCAGGAAACTGGTCTCGCCTATCAACCTGCTATTGACTGCTACAACTCAGGATATGGCAGGCAGGTGGGTGAATAGTTCTTGGACTTCCTGCTGTCATTCTGGCCATGTTTCCAGAACTTATCAGTCGTACCGTTTTAGCGAAATAACAGTGTTTCTCTCTCTTAACAAATTAGTATCAGCATCTGTCGTGGTTCCGGCCAGCCGAACATGGCCTCTGTTTACTATAGCACCACATTATCAAATTATGGCCTAATTAGACTTAGTAGATTCGTCTCACAAATTAGCCTCAATCTATGTAATTAGTTTTGTAATTAGCCTATGTTTAATACTCCTAATTGGCATCAAAGATTCGATGTGACAGAGCTAAACTTTTGTCTGAGGGAAGTAATAGTTTTTTTTCCCTAGAAAACGAATTAAGCCACTATCTTGGTGTTAGCGTGTGTTGTCTCGACAGTGCTGATCATAGACTAGTTTCATTTGGAGCTCACAACAGTCCCAGCACCACGTTGGATGATGACTATCAATTCAGAAATATTAGTGCTGCTAAACGTTTTAGAGTGTGAAACCACAAAAGAAAAACAAGGGATTCAGTAATTTTGCCATGCTACCAATTTGTGAATATTTTCATGGATTATTCACAATCCGGTAACCAAACAACTGGAATCGTACAGCTCGTACTCCAGTATGCTGCCGAGACAAATGCTCTGCAGCCTCCTCATCAGTTTGTACCTTGGGTGGTCGTCAACGGCAAACCGCTTGGTGATGTAAGATGCGCCTTTTTATTCCTTTGAACTAAGGTCGCCTCATGTATTCAGAAAACTTGTCTAATCTAGCGTCTACAGGATTACATGAACTTTGAGGCCTACATCTGCAGCGCTTATGATGGCAAGCTTCCAGAGGCATGCAAGGGGAAGCACCTAGCAATTGCTCAAGAGACGAAAGCCAGCAGAGGAGACAAGGTGTGCCCAGCTAGCAAAACTATCAGCTAACTCGCGTGTGAAAAATTAAGCTGAGTTTGGTTCCATGAGGTTCTGCATTTCTGCTGTCTTGTTGGGGCCTTGTTCTCTTTGCAAAAAATTTTAACCCAATGAATAGTACCACTTTTGTTTTATTTGGTAAATATTGTCCAATCGTGGACCAACTAGGCTCAAAAGATTCATCTCGTGATTTCCAACTAAACTGTGTAATTAGTTATTTTTTTTACCTACATTTAATACTCCATGCAAGCGACTAAAAATTGATGTGATGGAGAGAGAGTGAAAAAACTTGGAATTTGGATGACATCTAAACAAGGCCTGGGTCTCCGTCTAGTCTATTTTGCAGTAGTTGAAATAACAGTGCTGTCAAATCTTTGACAGAAACATCAAATGCAAATGTTTCATGTTGATATTTACTAGTAGCATTTTCAGAAGAAAATATCATACTAGTACGTTTCGTTTGGTGTTCTTCTGGTAAGATAAAGATGCACATGCCTGATTGCTTGGTGCTTGGTTTCATTGGTCTTCTAATACAGAGGAATGCACACGAGGTGGTCATCACACTTGCCATTTGTATCGCCCTATGGCTATGAAGCACCTTCCCATCAAGATCAAATCCAGTTTTTCGAAAGCAGACAGATCCTGGAGCTAGCCCAGTAGAGTAACAGATAAACATAGGAGTACTAACACAGAAATAACCTGTAAATTTCTTCAGCCACAGAGTGAAGGCAGGCAAGCATATTGCTTCGGTCTGCATTTGTTCA